CTCGAGGAAACAATTATTTGTTAAGCCGTGATAACGAGATAGTTATGTTGTTATTGTCATGTTGGGATTTAGATGTCTAACCCACATGCAGAAACACTCGGAGGCAGGGAAAAAGTTCAAAGGTTTATTGACAAAATGTTTATAAAAATGTGAACTGGAACTTGGGTGGTCAGACTTGTCACGGCAGGATCACCACTGAGGAGGACAGAGAGGTTAGAGGAGTTCCAGGTAAACTGCAGTTTATCAGATGATGGGGTAAATACCTGCTCAGAGGTGGAACTGATCAACAGCGGGGAAACCTTGAGGGTCCAGACGCTAGTCGGCAGGCAGAGGGCTGAGGGCAAGCAGAGACTGAACTGAGTGCAGGCAGGCGGAGGACTGAGAGCTAGGCAGAGGCTAACAGAGTGCAGGCAGGCAGATTCCAGACTGAGATATTCTCCAGGATTTCAGGTTGATCTGACAGGACTGGATCATTACTGGCAAACACTCTGGCAGGGAAGTGTCAGCCTGTTCCTCTTTAAATAGGGCCTCCTGATGAGCAGATGGAAGACAGGTGTTGCAGTCAGCTCAAGCCCTCAGGAGATCTCGTGCGCCCTCTGGTGGAGAAGGTGGACAAAGCCTCCAGATCCCAACAGTTATCTCGAAAAGACAAAGGACAAAAAAAAGTTGGGTATGACCGCTCTCGGCTTTCGTAATAGTATGGTATAGTGGAGGATGTTCTTTTTCCGGGTGGATAATCAAAATAAGTGGTCCTCCTAATTGTCAATCATTCTGGTGATATGTTTACTTAAGGCAAGGCTACGTGCTCGTCCCCATTTTCACCTAAGGGTGGTGAGTCTAACAAAGTGGAAAAATTGCAAATCTTCTTTTAGAAAGTAAGCTTGTATTATTGATACAAACAGCAACTTTTAAACAGCATGCACAAGGAGGAATCGGCTCGTACATGCTCTTGAAAGCGTTTAACAGGCGTTCCCTCTCGGTAGCGGGTACTGGGTTGTGCATGTGCATTTTTTTTTTTTTAAGGGGAGAGAGAGATTCTTTTTAAAGATTTTTGAAAATCCTTCACTGTACCTTTAAGGCTACCATGTTGGATTTTAAACTTGGGTCCGACTTTCTGACTTCCTGATGTGTTCTAGTTGATTTTTTCTGCTTGGTAAGTAAACAGAATGTACTATATACTGTATAATCTTGCTTACAGTTCTTGTAAAAATAAATAAATAAATAAAGTAAATCTCTGCTCTAAAATTATGTTTTTAATTCTGTTCCTCCTTTAAATCAGTTCTCTGAATGTTTTCTGATGGCCTAATAATCTGGAATAATGTTTAACCCATAGGGAGGTATAAAATAATAATAAGCAGTTTACTTGTGTAGAAAGTGTTTGATGGGACTATATTTGAAGGGATGTGACATTAAACTGTCATAAACATGAAGGAGTCTATATAAATGTTTATTAATTTCCTCAGTAAGTGTTATTCAGTAAATGATGACACTTTAACTGCAAAGCTGTCATTGTTTAAAATATCTTCGTTATAAAAACTTCACATTAACCAGAAATCATCAGACGTGTTATGAATTATTTATGGGTTATAATTTCTTGGTTATTATTACCAGCTTGTTATCACATACATTTTTGTATCTTTAAATGTCAAGTTGACATTGCAGAGATATATAAAAAGGTGAACTTTGCAATAAAAGTGTCATAACTTACTGAATTATATCAGCAGTTATAAAACATTCGTAAAGACTCCTTTATGCTCATGACAGGAGTTATGTTTATAAAAGTGTAATATCAGTCTTAGACACACCTCCTCAAATAAAGTGTTACTAGTTTTTGATTGGAGAAACAGTTAAAAATGTATCTGATTTACGCTAAATATGCAAATCTACCATTAGACAGCACAGCAACGGATATGTTTAAAATGAAAATGAAATCAGTTAATTTGTATAATGACAATTTACAAAAAAAAAAAAAAAATTGATTAAATGATATAAACAGGATTATAAAAACTTTTCTATCTGAGGACACCCAGGTGATTGCATTGAGTCATTGACTATTCTAAGCATACCGGTACATGAAGGGATAGTGGAAAGGAAGGAGGTTTCTTCTTTTTAACAGTAAAAAAACTACCAGTAGAACTAAGCTTAGAGTGAACATCCTGATCCCTCCACCGACTGGGGGGTTTAGGTGGCAGATAGAGCAGAGCAGATACTCAAAGGGACACAGAAGCACTGATCAAGACAGCTATATATGTGAGTAAAAAGTAGAAGATTAGTTGTTCCAGCAATTTCTCTATTGGTTTCATTTAGGAGAGAAGCAAAGTAGTAAATTAAACTGACACGACACCCCTGGTGACGGAGGGGTAGAATGCAAACTATTGTATCCAGATAATGACAGAACAACTACAATAGTTGGAATTTATTATCTCATCAACCTGGGCTCAAAACTATACACAGATATGCCACTGAAATTTGCTGTGATATGACTACTTCAAAACTGGCTTCCTGTTTCTATTGGCAAATCATTTTTTTTATTTCTATTAGAAATGTTCACTAGTGTTGAGGTTATAACTTCAGGACACCCATTGATATAATATCGTATGAGAATATGTGTTTTACAGTCTGTTTGGAATCATGCTTCTGCTTGAAGTTTCAGACCCTTTAACAGATTAACAGCCCCACAACATGATGCTGCCATCACTATGCTTCACAGTTAGTATAGCATTCCTCGCAAACATAGATTTTATAATTTCTAATAAATCAAATCTTATCTTTACACATTGAATTTAAACCCAACCGAGACTTAATTTTATTTATTTTTTATTTTACATTTTTTTAAAGTCCTCTTTTAATATAAATCTTATTTGTTTTATGGCTCTCTCGTATTTAATTGTTTTTATTGTTTATCTAAGCTGTATGCTTAGATTTATGAACCTATTGTAAAGTTTCCTTGTTTTTTTCATTCTTTTGTTATCTTTGATGTAAAGCACTTTGTTCAGTGGCTGCTGTCATTAAAGCGCTTCATAAAAAAAGTTTATAACTTTTGTCTTATTCTTTTCTCTAGATCATCTGATGTAGTAATCTTTACTCAGATATTTGTTTACCTTTATGGGGCCAACATTAGGCCACTGAAATAGCATTTCCAAAACCCTCACCCCAACTATATTGAAAATGGGTTAATCTGTGCCAGGAAAAGTCACTAGCCCGTCCATACGGCCTGAATGTTTACCCACATTAGCCAGCAGAATCAGCACCACCATCTCTTTCTCTCTTCTTTCAGCCATTTTGTTTTTTAAGCTTTCACCTCTTTTAAAAGCGGACCCACCTTTAATAGCTAAAACAGACGCAGACAGACAAATGTTTAGAGGTGAATCATGGATGAAGGAGTCGTGAGTCAGACGGGGGTTGTGTTATTGTCTTGTGCTCGGTACCACCAGGGGAGACGATGTGGTGGTCTGCACATATGAGTAAAGTTTTCCTGGAACTGTGTGACAACAAAAGTCTGCTTTCAGAGGTAAATCATAATATGTGGTTCTATAGTTTGCATTGAGTGCTGCTGTGCACAAGTCTAAGACATAAACTTTACATTAAGGTATGGCTGTCAGGACCTACCACAGTACAACATAAAGAGGATCATAAAGGTTCTCTATATTACCAATGTTAAATACTTGGAAAATGGCCCCAGTACCTGTAAACGCAACTTTTGTTGCATCAGAGAGCCTATTGACTGCAGCGATGGGGGTGCGTAAAATCACCTTTAAATCATTTTAAAATCTGGTCTGGACTGTTGGCTTTTTTCTCCAACAGCAATTAACATTAATTAATGTTATTTGCATTATCTTGTTTTTACCTGCCTCAGGAAATCTCTAAAGTTAGCACACAAATATTACAATGTCATCGTCTTTTTATTTCTCATCAGAATAATTAAACATTAGGCAGGTCCCATTTATTTAGTTTTTTATTCTAACAGGTTGGATTATCAGATAGTACCAGGAGAACAGTCAATAGAATATAAACTGGACCAAAACTGTATTAAACGCATCTCTCAGTTTTTTTTTTATTTGCATTTGTAAAAATGTATTTGTAAAATCTGGCAAAATGAAACATTAAAAATATCTTAAATGATTCTTCTGTCTAAGTGGTGTATCTGTGACGTGTCAGGAAAGCTTATCCAATAGCGACTGGGTCATGAGCTGGACCACAGAGCTCCAAAACAAATCAGCTTCTTCATCAGCTTTCGTCTTCAGAAACCAAAAGCCTTTCTTTGTGTAAATGAGTGAGCGACTACATAGAGTAATGTTTGATAAAGAAATCAATGCCTTTTATAATTTAAACATCCTTTAATCTTGAATGCAGCATTTTCCTTAATCTGCCTTATCCTAAATGTAATTCTACTCTTACTTGACCTAGATTTTTTTCTAACAATAAAAGGGGATTAAAACCTCTCAATCTCAATAAATATGACAACACAAGATAGACATATTATTCAATGAATAAAAAAAATAATACTAAAAGGGAAGCTTTTGGCTTTTTTTTTTTTTTTAACACAGACTGTTTCTATATATGGGGAATGTTTTTTTTTAAATTTCCAACAAGCTCATTCCTGCAGAGCCGTTTGCTGAAATCTTAACATACAATAATTAGTTAATTGAAGCACCTCTTAAGACTCTCTATGACCTTTAAGACAATCTTCTTTTTGTCTTCCACTTTCCTGTTATTTTTATGCACATATGCCACAATAAGTTTTCGGTTACAAAGACTTGATAAATATTATTTGTAAGGCCAACGATAAGCTTAGAAAAACCAGTAGAACTGCTGTTAAATTAATCTAACTTATTGGAAGCTACAAATTAAGAAATTTGTTTGAAACTTCTGCATGTTACCCAGTGTCTATTCATTTGTGCATTCTCAGCTTATGGAAACGCTCTGCCCTGTTAGAGGCGTTCAGCATTGGGCTGGATAGTGGTGGGAGTGTATCACAGAAAAAAAGCAGCATATATAAGAACTGGATGTCAGTGTGATGCTCTAGGAAGCAGCTTTCTCTCTGTCCTTCTGTTTCTTATAGTTTTGCAGTCTCTTTAACCTTAATCCATCATGCTGCTCCGAGCTCTGCTGCAGACTTCACTGGTGCTCTGGCTGGCCAAGCAAACTCTGCAAGGAGGTGAGAATACAGCTTTACGACAAACTTTTCCAACTTTGACTAAGTTGATAGATTTGATCTAATTCCAGTGCACTTTTTAGGGCTATATTCCTAATGTTTGGTTGTTTGAAACATTTCTGCTGTGCTTCAATAGTTTCCTTTAGCAGAAAAACTGCTAAAAACTAAATTAAAAAACCCCCAAAACGTTTTATATTTATTTAGCTTGTTTTTCTGTTAAGTAAAAAAATAAATTAAATAATAATAATATATATAGGCTATATATATTTTTATTTAAGTGCAATGTACATTAAGTTAATACAAATTGTAATACTTTAAATAATTGGTGAGATTTGAAAATGTTTACAGAAAAAAACCTATAAAAATAAAACTATATATATTTAGCTTGTTTTTCTGTTAAGTAAAAAAAAATACATATATAGATAAATATATAAATCTAAATCTATCTATCTATCTATCTATCTATCTATCTATCTATCTATCTATCTATCTATCTATCTATCTATCTATCTATCTATCTATCTATCTATCTATCTATCTATCTATCTATCTATCTATCTATCTATCTATCTATCTATCTATCTATCTATCTATCTATCTATCTATCTATCTATCTATCTATCTATCTATCTATCTATCTATCTATCTATCTATCTATCTATCTATCTATCTATCTATCTATCTATCTATCTATCTATCTATCTATCTATCTATCTATCTATCTATCTATCTATCTATCTATCTATCTATCTATCTATCTATCTATCTATCTATCTATCTATCTATCTATCTATCTATCTATCTATCTATCTATCATCTATCTATCTATCTATCTATCTATCTATCTATCTATCTATCTATCTATCTATCTATCTATCTATCTATCTATCTATCTATCTATCTATCTATCTATCTATCTATCTATCTATCTATCTATCTATCTATCTATCTATCTATCTATCTATCTATCTATCTATCTATCTATCTATCTATCTATCTATCTATCTATCTATCTATCTATCTATCTATCTATCTATCTATCTATCTATCTATCTATCTATCTATCTATCTATCTATCTATCTATCTATCTATCTATCTATCTATATTTATATGCATATATTTATATAGATATATACATATTTTTTAAGTGCATTAAGTTAATACAAAATGTAATACTTCAAATGATTGGTGAGATTTGCAAAAGTTTACAGAAAATAAAACTTAATTTGATGAGATATAAAAAAGCATTCAGTCCATATGTCAAAAGCAGCTTAATTCAGCACTTGATTAATGATTCGGCATCCATGTGACTCACTTTCACCCACCTGTTAAATATCACATCAGTGAGACTGAGGAAGGAAATACAAGGACTGAATATGTGGCTTCATGAATGCTGCCAAGTCGGAGTGGTTTATATGGTCTGTTTTCTGCAAATGAAAGGATGTAATAGGAAGGTGGCAGATGCATGAAAACCTGACATTGATTTGTGAGAACTTTGAGGCTCCACAGAGTGGAGCAGTCTCCACTCCTACATGGCTGTCACTGAATCTCTTTATTTTCCAACATATTAACACATGCGTGATAATAGCTCTTCCAAAAAAATTGACATGTATATTTGCATATCTTAATTTTATTCATGCTCTTCTTGAGGACTGGTTTTGGTTCATAATTTAATAAGAAACCTACAATCTTTACGCTGTCACAATGTATTCATGCATTCTTATTGTTGCAGGAGTTAGGCCTCAAAATGTGGCCTATGGGAGGGCCCTGCCAGCTCGAGGTACAGCACTTCTTAAGATATATTTTTTCTATTTTATCAAAAAATTTAATCCTAAAAGGAAAAACAAATAGTAGAAAATCAAAATCACCCCTTTATCATCATAACTTAAAAACATATGTATCTAGTTTCTGTTTTTCTGTTTTGTTTTAGGTGTTGGTATTGGAGTTAAACCTGGAGGTCAGTCTTTTAATATGTATCCATTAATAAGAGTTCTATATTAATTCAATTATTCTTATTGGCATGCTTCAATTTCTTTTATTTGGAGTAGAAAAGCAACACATGTTTGTAATGCAGCTGAAATAATCTAACTTATTTTTTATTATGGTTATAATATTGTTTTTCATAACATTCATTCATTCTTATTTTTATATAAATTAATGAATGCCGCACTTTTTTCTCTCTATATAGTAACAGTATAAAAGTTAATGCTACTTTATTAATGTCCATCTAAGTTAGCCTGCTGTTGGATGCTACCTTTAGTTTCCACACCATAATTATTTGTGTTAGAAATATTTCTATTTTCTATCTTATAGATAAGGGAAAGTGACAACTTTAACTGGCATCACATTAAAAAGACTAACATTCAGCAGAATCTGAAGCAATTTTAGATTTTGAAATCGGTCAGAAAGTGTCAAATTTAAGATGTACATCATTACCGACAAATCAAACTCAAAAGTTTCAAAGCAGTTTAAATGAAAGCTTTGTCAAGTTTCTTGGCATCCAGTCATTTATGCATAGTTGCTCTCACAGTTGACTGTGTTGCCTCGCTAAGAGAGTGCAATCTGAAGATAACCAGCTAAATCTGCTAAATTCCCCTTTAATCTTATATTTAGTGAATCGATAATCAGTAATGATAGACCTGCAGTAGTGTATTTACTAGTCTTTGCACACACAGCAACATAAAGTAATGTATAAATTATATGAAAAAAATTTTAGTATAAAATGTTAGGATCTGATTTAACTAAAGGGCTCAATATTTCTGGTTTAGTTGAGACTTTTGAGATTCAGTTTAAAAATTTGACCTTTTCTAAATATTTAGCCAGAGCAATGTCTATTAGCTAACACCCCTTGTTAACTCATGGATAAATGCCATCCACTGGCACAGCGCAGCTGTAGCAGTATTTTATTCTATTAAAATATCTCCTCTGACAGACTTTTCCACCAATGGATAATAGAATATCTGTTCGCACACAAAAAAATCTAGGAAGTTGCCACAGGGCATAAAAAACAACCTGCTAAACAAAGAAACACATGAAAAATTCTTGAAAAAAGTCTGTCCTCTTTTCCTTTAGTTACCGGAGCCCTTGGAGCAGTAGGAAACCGATATGGTACAAAAGCAATGAAGACTGGGAGTATGTTTTGTTTTAGACAATAGCTATTTTTATTAACTATTAAAAAAACATATTTATCTGTTTATTTTTTAATCACAGTTGGTCGTTATCCTGGGGCCCACCTTGGTGTTGGTAAGTTAAGTCAAAGCAAACTCAAAAGAATAAATTTAAAGGTTAAATCAATGTTTTCTATCATCTTATTTTTACAGAAAGCAAAAATAATAATAGCATGTTATTTTTCACTGTTTAAGACAAATTACTGAGCCAACCTGTATAAACACAGCTTTGAAAACAGCTGTGAACTAGACACACATTGTAGTTTCCACTGTTCTCCAGGAAGCTACAGATCTCTTGGATTAGGAGGAAGAGGAGGCCTGAGGCCCGGTGGATATGGAGCCCATGGAGGCTATGGTAGGTGATAAGGCCCTAAACGTCTCATTCCTTCTCTCAACTTTCCTCTCTGTCTCTTTTTAATGCAGAATTTGTGTGATTGCAGGTGCCAGTTTGGGAACTGGAATGGGTCTGGGTGCAGGACTTTCAAATGGACTCGGCTTAGGCCTGGGTCAGGGAGGAAAACGTGGTGAGATCAGACAAAGTTACTTACTGGAAAAAAAATGACACAAAAATCATCAACTAGTTGATAATATTTATTCTTATTATGAGACCATAATGAACATCAGACATTAGGCCCAGAAGACACAGACAGAAATGACTAACTATTGAAAAAAAAAAGAATCCTTTGAGAACACCCTTAAAAATATCAATTATATCCCCCAGACAGGAAAGAAAACAAAAAAACCAAACACATTTAATAACCACTGAGGGAGAAACAGCTCAGATTCAGAGTGGTTATAGTTTAGACTCTGTTTTTTAAAATCATATCAGTAATGATATTGGTAACTGATGCTGCATGAAGAGCTTCAAGGTCCTTTAGTGTGATTACACTCCGAGTGATAGAAGGTGTCAAACCAATGAAACTCCTGCCACTGGCTCTATTTCTACACCAGGGCTTCCAAAAGTAGAGACGGGGACCCCTTAAAGGACATGAGATTACTTTTCACACCATTGAGATGTGATCGCTGAGGGACAAAATGTCTAATAAAATACATAAATGTGAATATCCCATAAAAAACAGCCATGAAATAAGTAGATTTCACATTTATTTGATTCTCTAAAACACAACCCAACTATTAAAACTTAAATCAAATTGAATTAAGATGGTAAAATGCAAAATTAAGTTTAATAACTGCTCTAATAAATAAAAAAAACAACATTTAGGATTATTAGCTAGGTAGTTCAATATAATTGAAAAGATAAATGTATTAAAAAATATATATAATTACTTCAATATATATGAATAAATAAAAAGCAACTCACTCAATATGTATTTTAGGGGCCCCCCAATCTGTTGCATTATTTTTTTTGGGGGTACCTAAGATCACAGAGTTCTAAGGATTTATCCAAAAGCATCTTTTGAGTACAATTTTTTTTAACTTTTTAAAACTTTTTATTCTACAGCCTATGGTGGAGGCCTTGGGTCTCTTCCAGGTAAATAAATATGTTTCTTCCTCTTTGTCTTCATGTTACCTAAATAACAGTAAACACAAAAAAAGGCATTCCTCCTGAGCCACCCTCTGCTTGCTTGTTATGTACAGATAACATGGTTCTTGCAGATGATTTGATGCAGTAGTCATTATCTCTGAAAACACAGCTGCAGACAGCGAGGGCTTGCCTGATTGAGATATAACTGATTGTTTTCTATTCTTCACCAGGATATGGAGCATATCCAGGTGTAGGGTACCAAGGCGTACGCCCAGGTTAGTGTTTAATCATGGCTCTATTTAGAACCAAATCACATCCAGCTATGGGTTGCAGAGTGTTTTGCGAGTTCGCAAATTTCTATATGATACAACTTTAAGTATATTCTTGTGTAACATTGTAGAGCATACTGTTCTCATACTGTCGCAAAAGTTTTGTGCAACTTAAACTATCTATTAGCAATGCACATATTCACTATAAGTAATGTAGGCTAAACCCAGACATTTGTAATATCTGCTTTGATTTAAAGAGACACTACAGTTTTCTAATGATGCTGCCACCTGTGGCCAAAATACAAAACAGCAGCAATCATTTGCTTATTCTCGTAGTTCGCTCTCGTAATTAATAAGGGTTTAAAAAAAAAAAACTTTTTTCACCTTACATGGAGTTGCCATTAGTGTCTAAGTTGAGCCTGATGCTGGTCACAAGTATAAAAAAAACTCCATCTTGAATATAACTCTTCGATTTGTTGCTAGGTCGGTCCCATTTAACATGGATGTATTTGACGTTACATCTGCAGAACGTCCGGCTGCTCATCAAATTATATTTTAAATGTAAACGGTAAAACAAAAATGCTATTTTTAATATATTGTTCAATACAAAACTTACATAATATTTCTTTAAACTTTATTGAGTCATTTTATTGATCAAAAGGCTTTGAGAAACTAAAACTATTTGACTAACCAAGACTTCTGTGTTTTCTCTATTTTGTCTGTGTAACACTGCAGAATTATTCAGTTTTCTTGGATCGCCTCAAACTTAATTTTTTTCTTTCCTTTTTTTTAACAAAATCACATCTTTCCATCATAACATAACCCTTACTGGCTGGTATTTGTGATTGTAAGCCTTCACAAGGTTTGCATTGGTACTGGTGGATGCATGTTACCAACCTTGTGATATAGGAAAATGTATTTGTAATTGATGTAGCCATTATGTAGACAAATTTTCCCCCTTCTCATTCTTTAAATATTTTTGTGGGGATTTAGCATACATGGAAAAGTTTGAATTCTAATCAGTTTTCCTTTGAAGAGTGATGAGACTTCAGAGGTATCATGTATTGAATTTGAACCCAACATTCTCCTCTAAACTGTACTAAATCTGACTAGAGGAAATATCAAAAGCAGATTGCGTTTTTTTTTTATGCAGTGTACTGACTAATGACACGTACTTTTTACATTTGAAGATTTCTTTGTCTTTTCAGTCACTAGATCTTCAACTAATTTCAGACCACAAATGATTTAGTCTTTGGTCCGTTATAAAACCTTTTTAAAGCGACATCTATTGTCTGGATGAGGAGTTTAACCGTGCTTGTTTAATGGCCAGTGGGTCTGACCTTGAGGAAACATGCTGACTGTCTCCTGGCCCAAAAGGAAGTTGTGATCGCATGATGATATTTCTCTGCCAGGTGTGTCTGCAGCAGATTTGGGTGGACCTGAAGGGGCAAGTCTGGCAGCTCAAGATTTTAACAGAGAAACAAGCAGAGCTGTAGATCTTGGAGAACAAGAAAGATCACTTGGAGCTGGATTGAGGAGAAGCAGCATCTTTGGTCCTACTGTTCCCAGAATACATGGAAGAATCGAAATTAACAGAAACATCGCATCAAATCATAGGCCTTCATTACCTCTTGATAAACAGAATAAAGTTCCTGGTCTTCCAGCTTTCCAAAAATCATCTCAGGGATATAATAATGGGGGCAGTGAGGCAGTGTTAGCAGGCACTGGTAATAGGCAGCTTCCTTTTGATCAAGACATCAAAAGTCTGGATTCTTACAGTTCTCCACTTTACAGCCCCAGAGATCCATCAAGTGGAGGAAATCAAGATGCTAAAAATGTTGGACCTCTGGGTGATTTGTCAGAACCTTTGGGCATAAACCCATTAAATGGTAAAATGAGCAAAGGCCGTGGGTGTAAAACTCCTCCTGCACAAGGGCAAGATGTCAATGGCAACGTGTTTTCCACTGTACAGCATCCAGCAGGGATAAATCCTTTATATGCACCTGCAAACAATGAAGATATTAAAGGACCTCAGGCTCAAGACAAAATTAGGCCCAAAGATGGATTCCAGACATATGATCCGGTCATCCCAGGTGAAAGTAGGACTCAGAATTTGGGTATCACATTAACTGGAGAAGAACAGCAAGTTAAGGGTTCTACCCAAGAAGATGCCAGACATCTTTCTGAAGTTCAACATGTAAACAAAAAGTCAAAACCTCTTCGTATGCCAGGGCAGACTGAGAGGAATACACAGGCAGCAAGTAAGAGAAAAGCTTTGTCCTTTTAATCATTTTACTGTTTAGGAAGATCATATTAACCTTTACAGATTTTCAGCAAAATTCTATCACTCATATTTTTGGAACTAGGAAATTTAAACATTCTTCAAAATTTTCTTTTTTTATATACATATCATCAGCAGCAGCTTCATTACAATACAGAGCCCCACAGGGTTCTATTCTCAGCCTTTCTTTTTTTATTAATGCATCCTCTTTCTTTTCATTGCTTTGTGTACAACTTTCCAATTACCTCCAACTGATGGAGTAAAATAAATATTAATACCTTGCGATATGATTTTCAGAACATTATATCTTGGATGGAGATAAACTTTCAAAGCCTCAAAGAAAATGAAACTGAATATCATTGAATGCTTACAGGCCATAAGAAACTGTCCAATATTTCTCTACTTAAGGCACAGTTCTTTGTGTTGGTTTTTAACTCACTGTTAATAGCTATATTTATAACTATAACTTTGCAGGTATTTATATGAGTAAACTGATGCTCAGTTTACTCATATTTGTATGTTGCTTTCTCTCAAATATTGTGTTTTCTCTTTTTATCATGTGTATGGGACTTTGAAAGCAGTCGTTTACAAAGGCTTTTTTATTTTGACCTTTACTGATGTAATCAAAGCCTACATTGTAATTTAAATGGCAGGAAAACTTGTAATATTGTAAGCATGAGTTATTTACAGACAAAATATCATTACACTGACAAATATTCAATTATCTTTGGTGTTTTGATTAAAACACCATTTAGTGAAAATACACGATCCTCCACAGATATAGATGACCCTTGTTAAGATGAATCAAAGTTCTTAGAAATGTCTATCATTGAAATAATTGAAATAAATATGTTAATTCTTAGAATATGTTGATGCCCTCTTGGCATCAACCAGTTTCATATGGACAAATTTGTGCTTTATTTGGCAACCAGATGATTGGGAGACAGGTGTTCTACTATATAGAAGTAAACAGGTGACTTTTTTCCACTTGGAATTTAACTGGAAAAATGATTTTCAATCATTATATGAATAAATTGATGCTCAGTCTACTCATATTTGTATTTTGCTTTCTCTCAAACGTTGTGTTTTCTCTTTTTATCATGTGTATGGGACTTTGAAAGCAGTCCAATTGAAAATGATTTTCAATTGGAAAAGCAAGTAAATGTCCATATCACCAGTTATGATTATTGTTTCAAAGAGGTTTACATGATCAAGACATATTATCCTTATGCTGTTATCCACATCTGATTGTAATATATAACATTTTCAGACTGCATTCCAGGGGGTTCATCATCTGCTTTTCTGGAGTTTTTCCATTAATTGGTTCCAGTGTCTTTGTTCCACCATGCATTAGTTACTCTGTTAAAGAAACGCCTGACTGATTTTAGTTTTCCAGGTGAAATGAGAAAAATTTTGTTTCTCAGTTTCTGTTGGATTTGTCTGCAGGTTATATCGGAGGAGCAGGAAACTATCTTGGAGCGAGCCTGGGTGCTGCAGGCTATGGAACGGGTAATTACTTTCCCTTCTAGCAGATGAATATGATAATGATAAAAATATCATTATGATAAAAATATTTCTTGCCTTTTTCTCACATCTTTAGGACAGGGAGCTTATCTGGGAGGTGCTGCAGGAAAACTTAATGGTCAGTGATCTTTCATTTATTTATGATTTCAAAGAATACTTAGATTTTTGATATTAACTTCTGCCTTTTCTGAATCAAACATCGTAGCTGCTGCTGCTCTCGGACAGGGCGCGTATCCTCAAGGTGTTGCAGGGAAAAACGGTAAGGAAGTGCATTTATTCTTGCATCTTTACAAAATATATTTTTTTACTAGTTTCCTAAGAAAATTTAAAGATGCAGTAAGAGAGCACAGACTTAATACAATTTGTTTATAAGCTAGATATGAATTTTGGTGCTGCATGATATATGAGGATCAGAGCGATTGGTCAAATCAGGCAATGTAGAACACGATAATGTGTTACATGTAGTATGAAAAACTTCTCCAGATGAGATGCATTTATGCTTTTAAACTTTCTTTAAATATTTGGACAAAGTCATGATCTGGAGTTCTCTTTGCCAGGTTTTATAGTCAGCCTTGCTAAGTATGTTTTCCTTTTTGTGTTTTCTCTTCTGTACATTAAAGTTTATTTAACTTGATAAAAAATTAAGAACTTCATATGATTCAGGCATAAAAAAAACTAAGGGATAATATATTGTGGTTGTGATTGAGAGAGGTAAATACAGTAGGTAAAGAAAATTAAGTGAGTAACTAAGTAAGTAAGTAAGTACATAGCACCTTTCTTCGACAAGCGACGCAAAGTGCTGTACAATATTAGCCATAAAATAAAAAGCAGCACTATATAAAATACATGTAGACAAAATAAATACAATTATAGCAGCCCTTGGTAAAATGAGTTTAAAATGCTTGGTTAAAAAAGATTGTTTTTAGTTGTTTTTAAAAATCATCCATGGAGTTCACTAAGCACAGGTAAAGTGGTAGAGCATTCCACAATATTTGTGCGATCTATCGTCTCTCGACCTGAAACAGGGCTGAGGAACCAGTTACAAGTTCTTTTCAGCAGATCTTAGACTGTGAGCAGAATGGAGAGGCTAATGGCGCTAATGGTCAGGACCAGAATTTTAAGGTTTATGCGGTATTCAGTGGGAAGCCAGTGTAGAGCTTTTAGGACAGGAGTTATATGAACTCAAGGTTCTTGCTGCAGAATTTTGCACTAGCTGCAATCGAGCTTTGCCTTTTTTGTTTAGACAAGTGAACCGGCTATTGCAGTAGTCCAAACGTGATGAAACAAATGCATGGATGAGCATCTCAAGGTCATTTTCAGAAACTAAATTTCTGAGTTTTAAGTTGTTACACAGTTTAAAGAAACATTTTTTATTAATTATTTTGTGTGCTTCTTCGGAAACATTACCTCATAAAATAAAACTCAGAGGAATGGGGCAATAATGAGTGTCTCAGTTTTTACTGAGTTCAGATGTGGGCAATTGTCACCCATCCACTTCTTTATTCAGGACAAACATTCAATCAGATAGTTTAAAAAGAGCAAACAGCCATTAGACACACACTTTGTGCATGTTATAAGGGTGAAATATTAGAGTATCGGCTCATTACAAGATCTTTATTTAACTCCTGACATAAGACGTTTCTTTTTGGATTTTTTTCTGAAGAAAACACTTAACAGCTTGAACCTGAGACCATTTAATGTCTCACAGTGAGACAGCAGAGAATCTGAGGCTACCTAATTTCCCTTGTAAACTCATTATTTTCCTGTCAGACAAAAAGCTTTGCCTCTCTAGCTCTTCTTTGTTGCGAGATCTCACTTGAGCTAAGCTTTATTGTTTCTAAAAGAAAAAAAAAAGTCTTCTTTATATTTAAAAACATTGTGATTCCTAATGTGGGCTTGTATAGCCAACCAGCTTCCCAAACCAAAATAAACTCCCTTTTTTTTAGCCTAACCGTATAGCATCTAATAAAATTTTTTTTTTTTGATCGATTATGACAGGCTATGGTGAAGGAATGACGGGATATCTTGGTGCTATGGGGGGTAACGGCTTGGGTAAGTGTAAACACATCAGTGCAGATGGTGAAAATGCATTAGTGTCTCGCATCCTAAGGTAATGTTCAATTAAAAATGCTTTTGTTTTTTCTTGACTGGTTTTGTTCTTGCTGTTGGTATGCAAGCAGGGCCCTGATAAAAGCATTCTTTAGTTGGCGTCTTTAGGTGTTTCACCATTTTATCCTTTTCTCTCAGCAGGCTACGGTAACGGATATGGAGATGGTTACGGAGCAGGTGAGTAAATTCATATTTGAGTGAAATAAAATAAAAAGGGGTAAGATTTGGTTTAGCTAAAAAGAAATTAGTTCAGAGACTTAAGTAGTGCTAATTAGAACTATGTTTCAGGGATTGGTTACCCTGCAGAGTTAGCTGATGGTGCTGAGAACAAAGCAGGGAAGATTAAAGGTAATAATAACCTGTTGGAAAACTCCAACAGGTGATGACACTAACTAGTAGATGCTTAGGCTGTCTTCCTGTTGGTGCCGAAGTAACATATCCTCTGGGTGTAGCTATTGTACCTTAATCATAGAAGCTGATTTCTTCTGGGAGTTTCTGATTTCCTGTTTTCATAGACGCCTTAACACTTAATATAAAATATTTTCTATTAACAATTTCATGAGTCAGCTGTTTTTTTTCTATTTCTGATGTTTCAGCTCTGAGCACAGGAGGCTACGGAGGACAGGTCCAGGAGGGATATGGTAAGAACTGACCCTTCAACGGACATTACTGGTATATAGTCATCAGGTCAAATATTCCGAGCATTAAAATACACTGAAATGTCCTATTTTAGTTCAGAGGGAGATGGTGCCCATACTCCTTACGTTAGAGTAATGATAATGATTCTTTTGTTGTTTTAATCTGTTCCTGAAATGCAAAAGGTCTCAGTTCATGGGTGACCTTTTCAGCAGAACTATGTCCAGCTGGCTTAATATTTCATTAGCTTGAAGAATGACACTTCATAACATCCAGAATATATTATCCAACTTTCATTGGACTCCAAGAATTAGAGTAATACAATTTTTTTTGTGATTATATATTTGTTTTATGTTGTGCAGCCATATTTAAAAGTCAGAAAAATGTATCAACTTTAAGACAGAAGTCAGGAGTTTAATATAAAACTGTAAATATGACCAATAAGTACATTATTCAGACAATGCAGAACACGCTGATAGAGTCGCAGCCACATTTTGCTGAAGACAGAGATGGGAAGTAACGAAGTACAAATACTTCGTTACTGTACTCAAGTAGATTTTTCTGATATTTTTACTTTACTTTACTACTTATTTTTGTGGCGACTTTTTACTTCTACTCCTTACATTTTTACACAAATATCTGTACTTTCTACTCCTTACATTTTTTTAAATTGGCTCGTTACTTTAGTTTTGAATCATTTCAATGGAGTTACCATTATTATTTTTCACGTCATCAATACCAAATTAAATCTCATTGGATGGGAATCTACGTTGCATTTGACGCACCACTACAAGATGAATCGACAGATTCGGCGGTATTCATTCGCGGCAAATCATTGCAGCTTGGTGGCGGTGTAGTAGTATGGACGACGAGATGATTGAAAATAAACACAAGTCCTATTGGCAGACATCCATTTAAAATGTAGGCAACGGCATGAAAAAAGTGGTTTCTACTTTTACTTTTATACTTTAAGTAAATTTACAAGCCTGTACTTTGTTACTTTTACTTGAGTAAAGAAGTTTAATCAGTACTTCCACTTTTACCAGAGTATTTTTTAACACAAGTATCTGTACCTTTACTCAAGTACGGAAAGCGAGTACTTTTGCCATCTCTGGCTGAAGAAGACTTCAACTGTCCTTAAAGGCACCAGCTGATCCATGAATGAAACTCCTGAAATTTGTTAAAGGCACCTCTCTCACTGACCTGATCGAGGATCCTGACAAATCTGCATCCCTCAAGTGGCCTCTCTTTTCCCCAGCACTGTTTTGTTGACTAAGTCACTTCCTGTTCCTAGAAACTAACCTCCCTTATAAGGAAAATCCTCAGTTTAGTAGAAGGCCCAGAAGACAATTCCTGCTTCCTGATTCTAATTAAAAGCACAGTAGATTGAAGAAAAGTTTGTTTGTGCAAGATTGGGGATTAAAACTTATTCTGACACAAAATTAAGTAGGACATCGTCTCCAATTGGGGTGTGGTCTTAATAGCTGTCCAAAATCAGATGGCTCCATTTCATTCCCCTGAAACGACAGTATCAAATATCCTATGCTAACAAAATTACACAGAAATTACCTCTTCCATTCCTAGCTCATAGATTCTGCACACAAACTGGTTTTAAAAAGAAACAAGCCTTGGTAAAAAAAAAAAAAAAATTAATTGAGAAAGTAATCCTAACCCTAGCTCGGAAAAATAAAACATGACTTTGTCACTGAACCCTTTTTAATGTTGCTGCAGGAACACTTGGTACAGGACTGGAATCAATTGGGGGCAAATATGGTGAGTCCTGCAGAAACAACCTCATTGCGTTGTGAGTTAACAATGCTCTGCAAGTGTGACTCAACCATGTTGGATTATGAGGAGATGATGCATCATGTAGGTTAAAGGATGGCATAAGATCTGAGTCATTTTGATCAGGCATTTGTTTTTCTTCCAGGAGGAGCTGCTCAGGTTCCTTATGGTAACACTCCTGTGATCCCTGCTGGGCTGGAAGGTAAGAGCTTAATGTGCAGCCATCACAGTTATATGAATTAAAACAAAATCATGGAAAAGCCACTTTTAATTACTTTACAAACATATTTGTTGCACACTAGTTTACAGGCAAAAAAGAAAAGAAAGATTTCATGTCCCCATTTTACGTTTCATGCTGTTGTTTTTTTTTTTAAATCTTTTTTTTTTTTTCATCATCCTCATTTATTTCATTTTCCCAACTTTAAGAACTGTTAAAGGCTGCTGTCATTCTTTTAGGTGATGGAGGCTACCCATATGCTTCTCAGCAGCTCGGCCTTGCTGCTGAAAACGCCAAAACAGCCAGCAAATACGGTGAGACAGTGCAATCTGAGAAGAGCAAAAATGTGTGAAGCTGTGCACGACAGAATAAGGGCTGTTACTGTAAGATGTTGGTTAGCTTTTCTTTAAACAGATGCACGCCCTTTATGGTTAAAACAAACACATAAAACAATGCAGATTAGAAAAGGTGAAAAACAATAATATTTTCTTCTTTTATAGGATATTTAATTTTCTCTTTCTGCCAGCTAAATTGAACCATGTTGTTATTGTTTTAGGTGCTGCTGCAGGTTATGGGACCCGACAAACAGGTGAGTTTGCATCACTGTTTGAACAAAAACTTGCAGATACAAGCATTTTATATTCCTACCTTCAAGTTTCAACACCCTGTTTAGATTTTCAGAGATGACAATGTTAATACCGCAAAGCTTTGCACAACTTCTGTGTTGCACACATCAGCTACTCTTGATTTTATCGGGTTACAAAGTTCATCAATAATGTATACCCTCTATCTCTTTGTTCTCTAAATTGTGACTCACTGTTGCATTTTCTGTTTAAGGTTACGGAGCACAGCTTGGAGCTCCTCATGATGCTCTGGGTAAGTCAGAAAAACCAGACTTCCTCTTTCTGATCGAGTTCACTTGTTGATGATTTCATAAGTCATGTGCTCTAGCATGATACCATTGCTTTGAAAAAACTCACAGAGCAGAGCGTGACGAAAAGCTTCTAATGTCTGCTTAAGGGGAGGTTTCAGAATTACTGTGTAGCTCAACTCCTCGCCTTTTAAACACTAAAATCCGGTTCTTTACTAAACAAAACAAAGGAACCAAAAAAACAGCTTTATTCAAAAGTGAAACCCTTTATGCAAAGCCAGCTTTTGGTACCTACACTTGCATGAAAGTAGCAAGCATAATAGATAATATTCAGGTTTTTACTTTAAACTAAAGCTGTCAATTCAATTTACCTTTAAAAGACTTAACTGGGATGTTTTATTTTTTCACAGTGGAGCAGACTGGCAAATACGACGGAGTGAATGCTGCACTTGGTAACGGGTACAAAGGTGATGATAATGAAACTTTACAACAGAGCATTAAACATACAGATTATTTGGTCATGCAGAAAACTGGCTCACATGAAAGAAGAGCTCCATGGCAAATTAGGGAAATTAGGTTCATTTCTAAAGCAAACATGTCTTGAGTTTTTTTTTTTTTTTTTTTTTTTACAAATACCTATTTAATGAGGATTCTAAATGAAACAAAACAAAACAATACAAAATAGTGTAATAAAAACAGCATGGTTTTTCAGTTGTAAACCTTTCTAGCTGAAATAATTCTGAAAAATGTGGCATGCATTGACATACTTTGACGCCTGTGAATAAACTCAACTGTAACCAAATGCCCTCAGACTTTATTTTCGACCCGGCCCGTCAGCAATCGTATCATAGTTGCTACAGATGTTCTGTAAAGATGTTTCTTGGAGATCATTCATTAAAAAACAGCTTTAAGAAGAGCAAGGAACACAGCCTAGCGGTCAGGGAGGAAGTTGTGGGCAATTATAAAGATGAGTCAGTTACAAAACAGTGTTAAAAGAGAGAACTAATGAGAAAAGAAGTCATGAGGTTGATTGGTAACTCATCACGAGCTTCACTGATCCACAGTTTAGGTGGAAAATTTGTCAGGAGGCCAGCTATTCCTGCCCCAAATTTTGGCCTGTGTACTGTAGAAAGCTGGTAAGAAGAAACTATAGTTCAGATTAATGCAGTTTCATTTCCAGTTTGCTTTAAGCCCAGAGGGAAACACAGAGGATGGTGCTCGAGTTAGGTGATACTGAATGAAACCTTTTCTATCATGGTTGCTGTTTTTGATCTGTGTTTCTACTCAGGTTTTCATTTTGTCCTTTTTTTTAATTTATGTTATGTGTTTCCATATAGATTTATCTTGTTTTCATTAAGGCTTACTTTAAGTCTTCCTTTGTGTTTTAAGTTTATCCCTTGTTATTTAAGCTATCTTTATTTATTTATTCCAGTCTCTTCCCCAGTCTTCTAGTTTTTCCTTTGTCATTTTGTAATAAATCAGTTAATTCTCATTACATTTAAGTCCTGTATTATTCTTCTGTTGTCTAGACCACTATTAAAATTACAAACCTTCCTTTGACTCTGCATCTGGGTACTGCAAACCTCAACACATCCTGACAGTTTGGCCCACAGGAAAAATTATATATGCCAAGGAAAACTAACACTGGCCATCAGCCTGAACATGTTATGCCCAATTTAAATGTCGGTGGCAGCTTCCTTCTTTTGGGGACGGCTGTCTTCAATAGGGACAGAATTATTGATTAGAGCTGATGGATGGAGCAGAATTACAGGGCAGTCCAGGAGGGAACCAGGTAGTGGCTGCAAAGTCTCGATACTGGGCTGGAGCTTTTCTTTCTAGTAAAGAGGCATCTAGAGCTTGATTATCAGCTCAGTTTAAAGAATGGTCATGTTTAAGACTGGTCACAATCCAGGCCTTAAAGGTGAGTCTCAGACAAGACTTAAAAACTGCCATTTGCAGATGGTCACCCGCAAATGTCAGTGAGGTTCATCTATTTTTGATAGAATAATGGAAAAAATTTAGAGAGACAGAAGAAATCTCTTGTACTGGTTGAAGCAATATATGGTTCTAAAAGGTAATGATTTAGAAAGAATAAATATAAATGCATGCCACACATTTCAGAATTTGGTTGACGTTGTGAAAAAACTGTATAATGTTCCCTCAATTTTATAGCCATACACCACTTTTTTTCGGTATATTACATTAAATAATGGTTTGTGACAATATTAGAAAAAGCTTAAGTTCTGTTAAACACATTCAATGTAAAAAAAAAAAAATGCATTTTTGCTCCACTATTGATTTTAAAATTGTGTCTTTGTCTTTAACCAGGTTAAGAAGTTGGCCTCTTCAAGTGGATCTTCCTATATTTCTATTGTTTTACCTTTTTGATTTGCTTTTCTCATTGTTACCCATATTTGTATTGACCCTTCAAAACCTGCTGTACTCATCACCAATTGTTCTGTTTTATATCGTCAAAGTTTAAGTTGGATGATGAACTAAAATAGATGCAGAGTGCAAGAAATGTATGTTTGCTTGATGATCTTATTGTTTTAGTCCAATGAAGCATCATGTCATGTGACGATGAATAAAAAAAACCAACTTCTGAGTCAATAGGATCCGCCTTCATGTTTAAACACATTCTCTTGAACACATATAGCGAAACCTCATCCGCACACAGGAAGCTTTACCACTTCCTTTATATCGGGCAACACAGAGAAATTTAAAGTAAACACCAGTTCTTTAAATGGGAACATAATAGATCAAAGAACACAGATCAGAGCCAGTTTAGTTGTGCTTTTATTCTGGATAAGTAGGGCAAAAATAAGCTTTCATAATATGAATTACAAATTTGTTAATAAAAAGACAATACGATATTATCAAGGTTACAATTAAAGATAGACTTTAGCTAACACTTTCTCCAAATCAAAAGAAACCACACATATAGGCAGGTATATAAATTATTGCAGCATAATTTCATGACTGATATCTTAAGTATTAAAGCAGTTGTTGTAGAATATCATTGAAAGGATTTCACCATCTGACTCTCATTCCTGTAAGATTCTCTTTCCTCCAAAAAAACACCCTTTTCCTTCAGGATAGATTTTGGAATAGGATGGTCATGACGGGACACGTAAAAGCTCCTCAGGCTCTGACTCATGGGTGATGGTTTATAGTCCAAGCATGATTTTCCAGCAAGACTTGGAATACATGTCACCTCCCATTTGAAGAAAAAGCGACCATGTTGGAGAGGGCAAACATCTTGCATGATTCCAGAGGAGAGTTGTCGTTCACATGCTCCCAGCAGATCGTCATCCCATTTGCTGTCCTGATCCCAAACTTCAAATCGCACCAAATTCTCTATAGAGATGTCCCTGGTTTCTAAGTCAACGATGGAGTTCCAACGTGGGCTGTTGTTGTTATCAATAACAGAAGTACGGTAAACCTCTGCTTTATTCACAAACACCTTGACATAGCCGTCCGTGGCAGTGCTGTGGTCTCCCCACAGGTCATCAGCCCTTTGCACTGTTATGATAACTCTGGCCATTCCCTTTCGTGTTGGACAGCAGTCTGGGCTCACAGCAGGTTCACTGTGGCACTGGCAGACACAGGGATCCTGGGAGTCACTCTTTATTCCAGCATTACATCTATTGCTGCAGTTCCTCAGCAGACCTTTCTCCAGAATGTAATGGCTGATAGCCAGGCGCAGGTCTTTCCTGACCTGTTTGTCGGTAGGCATCAACTCGTAAAGTGGTGTAAGGGAATATGAAATGATGTCTGGGTATTGTGGTACTGAACCAAGCCACTCCTTGTAGGCTTCTGGATTTTTGTTGGCAGAAAAAAGAAGGTCTCCATCTGAAGTAAGCCCCCCTTTTACTTCTGTGAACCTAGAAACAGAAAAGTTTCAGCAGCTAAACCAAAAATTGTCCTTACAGGAATAGAGAAAAAGTAAATATTATTTTGTTATTATTAATTAAAAGATGAAAATGTATACTTTACCTGTCTCTGAATGTGTCAGAAAAGGATTTCTTGTTTTCCATTTTGTCTATAGTTTTTTGGCAGTGCTTTGATTCTACTGTCGCACTAACTTTGACGCTTGCAGACGCTTCAGCCTCCAGACACATTTCAATCTCATCTGTATTTAGACCCTGCAAGCTGATTTCACACATCTTAATGCTGGTCACAGACTCCACCCTTCCTCCTAACTTCACCTGGAATTACATATTATGAGCACTTGCAGGTCAGTTATGTCTTTATGCTGAGTTCCCTTTACTGATGTTTGCTGTTTGTACTCACCTTAGTGATGTAATGTGTCCCAAAGTTCTCAATGAATTTGTAAAACCTAGATTTGTACTGTGGGTTGTATACTATAGGAAGCTTTCCCACAGCTTTGTTGAAATCTCTGCTCAGAATGGGAGTGCTGGACACTCTGTAGCTGCAGGGACACGGCACAAAAAGGGTGAGACCAGTATAACAAAGCAATAGGATAAAACCAGTTTTGAAATGTTGACAACCTTCAACAAAATTGGAAAAATAAATCTAGAAATTGTTGGTCTGTTCAACCTTCATTTTTTTCAGACCTCCTTATGTTGATTAATTACAATAGTGGATTTTGACACTAATGCTGACATTTAAAGTGAAAGCTTAAATTCTGCCTTAATGCTATCTTAGACTCAGCTGACTCTTGTTCAAAATCTGCACAGATCCCCACCTTCTTCATATCTTGAATCTGGTGACACCATATGGCACTGACTGTCAAGAGATAAATACATAAAAGGATTTTCTCATTGCCCTGTCCTACCTGGACAATTTTAATCACCTTTAAATTCAGTTTAACTCAGTTCTCCTCCCCCTAAAGAAGGTTTGATTGGACAGTTATTAAACTCACACACAGCCAGAGCTCCATTGAGCTGTTTATTCCACCAACGCTCACCAGACTTTAAAGGATTGTTTGAATCTATCAAAAGTAAAATAATTGACATCCTTCAAAATATAACTAACTTATATAACTTTTGATCAAGTTCAACTTTGAAATATCAACATTATCATATCCATCTAATCCAATAACTTGTATTGTAGATCCGTTTCCAAACAACTTAGTTAAGGCAGTATTCCCTCTTGGAATCCCATGAAAATAGTGCCCTTATAAAAAATTGCTTCAATTGATCAAATTGTATTAAAGCAGATATTGGCAGAAATAAGGCTCTGAATGATGTGAGTTGTAGTTTAGCTGTTTAAAGTTACACTTTTCTAACATATAAAGTATTAATGGATCAGTGCCTTCAGGTTATTTTGATGTGTTTGCCTCTCTCTTATTGGACCCCTGTCGGCCTCGCCAAAAGCTGCACACACTGGGCCCCGTTCTGGCTCTGCTGGAGGTTTCTTCCTGTTAAATGGGAGATTTTTCTCTCCACTCTCTTTGCATGCATGCTTGGTGTGAATAACTGCAGCAAACCCAATGACACAATGCAAGTGAATATTCACTGTTACAACATGCTCATCTAGTCGGAGGGAATTCTGCAAAGTCATGACTTAATGCTGGTGGCTATAGGTTTCCTTAGATGGAACATTTTTAACCAATACATTTGGATGATGCAATTGCCTCTGTACAGTTTTTTGAGATGAAATGTGTTGTGAATTTGAGCTGTATAAAAGTAAACATATCTTATTTAAAACATTCTAGCAAATCTAATTGACCTTATTTTCACTTAGTCCATCGGTCGCCAACCTTTTTTGCACCACGGACCGCTATATATCAGACAACATTTTCACAGACCGGGGTGGGGTGGGGGGGAGTGGGGGGTGGGGGTTATGATCAAGTAAAATGATACGACTGTCGTAAAATCAAATACAAACAGCATAAAAATAAAACAACAAGCCGGTCCCATCTAGGCGTAATCAAAGAAAACGAAAGACGGAGTGTGCTCCTGATGTCCAGTCTGCTCCGCAGCTTTGTTTTGGTCGCTGTAACCGCAGAAAATCCTGCTTCACAAAGATAGGATGAGTCTTGAACTGAATTAACCTGTGTCAAGAGGCACAGATGCACCGATTGATGTAATTGGGAGAGAATACCGCAATTTTTTATATTTTTCAAAATAAAACATCACTCAGACTGATCGTCGATAAGTTATATATATATATATTTTTTTTTTTTTTTGTGCGGCCCTTTACCAAATGACCCACGGACCAGTACCGGTCCGCAGCCCGGTGGTTGGGGACCGCTAACTTAGTCGATTAAGATCAGATTAACTGGTTTATGTTTTTACTGAGTATTAAAGAAGGCTTCACCAAAGTGAAATATTGCTTGTTACAGCAAACTGCCTCATGAATATCCCTTTTTCAGAGATAATACCAAAACCAGGCAACTTTCAAAATCTGCGGCCACTTTTTTTCTATGGATGTGTAAATCAGTAAGTTTCCAGTAAATAAATGCCGAGACTGGAATCAAAAGGATGGAATAGAAAGTAGATAAATAAAAAATTGAGGTCTGAGGTTACTTTTCTAGCTAATACTCTTGGCTTACAAGCCACAGCCCCCAACTTCCTGTACTACCATCATGCTATACAGCTTTTACTGGGAAGTCTGTGGTTACTTTATTTCAAGTCTAACTTGACACGATTTATACAAGCAAAAACAGAAGCTACATTTTCTCCCCAATTTCTATTTTTTTATTGGGCACGTTCAAAAACCTCCCAAGTCTTGATCCAAGTTTGGAATAAAAAGAAGAGAGATAATATAATGGCAGATTTTGGTATTAATAAAAGACTGCCAAAGCAGATAAATGTCATTGAATATTAATGAACACAGGGGACATTTTAGTATTAGGAAACTTTTTAAGGTGTTCATTGCTGTTATCGGACTCATAGTAGTGAACTGCTATTGCAAAGGTGTTAAAGCTGGCACACAGCTTTGGTTAAAACACCTAGAAACCACCAACCAGGCATTTAATCTGGGTGTAGTGATTCAGGCCTGAAAATTCGGATGCACAAAGACAAACTCGGACTTCTATCACCTAAAGAACATCCCCAAGATTAAAGGACCAATGTATCAGCAGGAACCTAAAAAACTAATTCATGCGTTCATCTATAGCATAATGGATTGCTGGAACAGTGTCTTCACAGGTCTGCCTAAAGTGTTGATCAGAAAGCTGATCCAGAATGTTGCTGCCAGTGTCCTCACTAGAACTCACTAGAAGTGGAACACATCCCCCCAATTTTTATTTCCTTCCACTGGTTCCCCAAAATGTCTAGCTCCAAATTAGTTCACAGACTTTTTGTCAGTGTATCAACCACCCAAACTCTCAGGTCTGATGGTTCAAGTTTCCTCTACATAACCAAAACCAAACATGGAGAAGCTGCTTTTAAATCGTATGCTCCACCAATCACGAACAAACTCCAAGTTTAAACATTAAACATTTTGAAACCTTGAGTTGCATTAAATTGAGATTTAAAAACCTAATATACTTTTTAGGTAACCTTAGACTGTGTTATCTAAACATTATTTACACTTCATTTTGTTATCAATAATTTCAATTACTACTTCTATTATCTTGAATTATGCATATTCTTTAATAATTTAATTGTCCTTTATACCTCTGGAATACACGTTTTCCT